GACAGATCTTAAGTATGTGTTTATTTAGTGGCATGTAATAAAAAAATCGCAAAATTCTTTTCAATTAATGTATTTTCAGTGTCAATGTATTTCATTTTTGGTTATCTACAACAACAACATGCAGCAGCAGTCTAATTCAGTAGTGTAGCATTTTATACTGCAAACTCATTAGCATGTAGCGACTATATATGCTTGTGCAACGTAACAGTAGCTATGAAAGAGTACATTTGTGGGAGGAGCATGGTTTGGCCAATTGTATTTGCATCTGTGTAAATGAGACAAAAATGGCTCACTATTGAACTAGGACTGAAATTTAATGGCTATTATTCAAATAATCAACTCATGAAACTATTGCGCCTTCTTCAGTTCTTCTCCCTTTGTTGCCGCCATCATTTAAATTCTGATTTCTTCTTTTATGGTGCAGTGAAACAACTTCACTTCATGTAGGGCATTACAATTCATCAACAATGAATATATAATTATATATATAATTATATATTATAATAATATATAATAATAATAACATATAATTTTTTATATAGTTGATAACTATTCACTTTAATCATAATCAACATTAGCAACTCTACACCTGACAGTAGTATTATGCTATTTCATGTACTAAATAGTATTTAAACACAGCTGATGTCTTATGACTTAACGGGACAGTTGCAGCAGACTCTGGTCTAAATATCCACTCAACAACAGCCTTTGTTCTCTCTCTCTGTGCAGAGCTTAAATGTGCAGATTTCCTTTAAATGTCTTTCTCGAGTGTTCAAATATACTGACTATCTTTAATGCTCCACCAGGACCCAACACTGTTCTCAGGCATCCAAGATGGAGAATGAGAGGAATAAGCCACTCAGCAGGAGTAAAGGAAAATTAGATGAAAAAGACAGCATAAATGCCTGGCACTGTATGGTGAGTGTGTCTGTGTTCGCAGTATTTGAATGTGCTGCAAATGATTCATTTTGATTCATTCAGGAATTACATTTACATATACATTCATTTATATAGTAAACTCTTTTACCCACAGTGACTTAGTCATAACGATGGTATAGAGAAGGTTTTCTTCTTTATCTCTACTTATATTTGCCATTACAGTTTTTCTCAGGTGCTTGAATGCTTCATTCAGAACTCATATTCTCAGAACAGTTAACACGCAATGCTAAACTTATGAAACCTATGAAAAACGTATTCTTTTATGGGTTTGCTGGCCAAAATAAAGCTTTCACTTTGCAAAATGGCCAAACCTTCACAAAATACTACATGCACAAAAGAAAACGTTTCCATCAAACACTACAACTTGCAACCAGGAGACACTGACAATCACTAAACACTGGCCAAAAAACACAAAATACAGGTTTCACAGGTGTCTTCATTACTGTTATATGTATACTGTTCCTTCTGCTGATGCTTTACTGTAAACAGTTTGTGCCCAAGTGTAAAACTATCACAATGTGGAACCTGTTCTTTAACAGTGATACATTACGGTGCAATGTACTGTATAAGCCCTGCAAAAAACACCACACAAAAAAAGCAAACCAAAACAAAACAGATTTCAATTGAAATATCAGAAACAAATATATTTACTCCCTTTTCTTTTTCGCTATACTCTTGAAACACAGGTGCAAGTGTTGGAGGGCAATACTGTCCAAAATGATGCCAAACCCTCAGCCTGAGTATATCAGTAGAGGGATAGACTGTCAGAGGGGCTCAAACAGAAGGCCTCGTCATTCATACCTTACTGAAATGAAATTTACAATGAAATTCAGACAGAACAACTACAAATCATGTCATGATTCATGACAGAAGGTGGAAAAAGGATCAAACCTAAATCTTAAAGTCAAAACATTGCAGTATTCATTGTACAAATTTTTAACGACCTCAATAGATAAGTCTGATGTAAATCTACTACACACTCTTCTACTCACAAACGGTTTCTGGCCTCCTCTTTATCATCATTTGGGACAATGTTGCTTTCCACTATTCTCACTTGTTTCAGTGAGTACGTAAACTAAATTAGCACTAAATTGCTTTGAAACACATTGTCATAGTGTTTGAATCCATTATCCATTATAATTTTTGACATTCCCAGTAGGTAAGACTGTCATTATGTACATTAGTTTTATTGTTTATTTGTTGTTTAATGACAGTATCACCAGTTACCTGTTCCTCATCTGAGAAAAAGTGTCTACAGTTCCCTTTGCCCATGTTTACAGTCAGCAACTGATAGCAACTGATTGCTGAGTTCATGTAATTTGCGTGGGTGCTGAAGGTACACATGACTGTGACAGTATTTTCTATAAGCTGTCACTACATGTTTTCCTTTTGTTTTACACAGTTAACCAAGGTTTTGTGTGAATTCTGCTTTGTGTTTTGAGAAAGTGTATGAAAAACGAGGGAAAGCAAGTAGAATGTGTTAACACATTTGCAGGGGACAGTTCTGCTTTGCTAAAAAAAGTGACACTGAAATGTCAACCTCAGTTTCATTAAATGTGTTTTTAGTGCTGGAGAAAAACTGTATTGCAAATGTATGTAATGCCCACTAACACTATCTTTCCTTTCCCCTGTACAGACTGTAGCGCTCCGTCAGATCTCACTGAATAGCTCCTCAGATCAGCCCCAGTCCTTTCTTGCCCAGCAAAGGCTCCAGACCCGGAGCAGGAAGGGGTCGAGATCCAGAACTAAACTAAAATAATGCCCAATATGGACTCTGTACTGAGGACGTCATTGAGAGAGTTGGAAGACATGGACATGCTGCTGGTGTGTGTGTGTGTTGCTTTGTCTCCCCCTGCTGGTGGCAGAAGGGAGGTGTCATGATCTGTTGTTGGGAGCTTTCTTTAGTAGTGATTCAGCCAAGACAGGACAGGCAAAATACAGGCTTCAGAATGGCTGCTAATTCTGTCTGTAATACTGTTTTAGCTATGAGACAGACTATTTCAATCAATTTGTATATATAACAGTACAGTGCCAGAAAAAGCGAGTTTTTTTTCACATCACTTACCTCATCACAGTCTGTGTATGTGATAACAGGTATGCAGTTTGCACAATGCTAATCGATGGCTATAAGCTTCTTATCTTCTTAATTGTTAAAAGCTAATAATTACTGTTTTGTATTGTATTAAAAATGCACATGAATATTTTGTCTGCCCGGCTTGAACATGATACACTTAGATGCAAAGGCTGTTGATTTGGAAAGAAAAAAAGGAAGCTTTGGTAACTGACATGTTTCTGGGGATTCAGTACTTGGTATCAGCAGTATTAATATCAGCAGGTACTGCTTATTTAAAACATAATGGCTCCCAGTATGTGTACTTTAGAAGTGCGTGCTCCCAATGTGGTTTGATTTTTGTTGAAGGACAAAATGGCTCTTCTTAACATTTAGGTTGCTGACCCCTGGCCTACAGTATGCCAATACGAGTCCTCGGGCAAGACTCCTAACACTACCTTTGCTACCCCCTGTAAAATGATCCAATTGAAAGTCATTCTGGATAATGCTGTAGATGTTTCAGGCTCAGTCAGTTTATACCACTATAAATGTAGTTTAATAAAAGATAACTGTATAAAACCTGTTTACATTTATTAAACTCTAATTCAAAAGGAAAGTTTACTGATTTTAATTTAAAGTCAGTCCAAACTGTGTCTATAATAAAACCCGTAGAGCTACATTCTACATTTCACATTCTGAAACCCTGAAATGTTGGTGCAACTGTTGAAATTTAATAATCTGTGTTTAAGAGGCTAATTAAATGCTCTTTGTCCTGTTCTGTAATGGCCTTGTCTGAACAGAGTTGGACTGATTACATGTACACCCTTAAAAATAAAGATGCCAAACTGATATTGTTCAATGCTGTACAAGAACTACATTTGGATCCCTAAATAACCTTTCAGTGGATGGTTCTATTTTTGTATTTTATAAATGAATAAAGTTTAAAGAACTTCTGCATCATGAAAAGATTAAGAACCCTTCAAACTTTACATTACGTGAAGGTTCTTTAAGCTTTATTAAAAATTCTTCAAGCTCACAAATCTTTCTTCAGGGGCATTACTACATAAAATTATTTCTTTTGGTGACAACATCTGTATTGCTTTACAGATGGTTACAATTCTGAATATGGAGCTTTGCTATTTCATTTTGGACCAAAAGGATTTCAAAACAAAGCCTAACAAACTTCAGTTCTAATGCTGATGGAAGTTCTAGAAGTTACCAAATATTTCTGACCTGATAAAAACAATAAAACAAGTTGTTTTTATTGAAAAACTACTTTTACTTCATTATTTCACTGAATTAAGAAAACGTTTCCTTGAGTAAGGGTTTAGACTACTCTTCCCACCTCTGTTCTTGTTCTCCTGGGAAAGGAAATGGAAGGATGGAGGAGATGAGGGAAACAAGGTGTGGGACACTTCACACCTTTCTCTTTTCTAAAGCAACAGTGTCAGGTGTGCTGAGAGTTGAGAGAGCTGAGAGAACTTTCACACTCTAAACATGCTGACTGTAAACCTCTTAAGGGTTTTTGAACCAAGACACTTCATTCAGTCCTAAACACATTACAGATTTATTATAGGAGGCAATAAGCTGCTGATTGAAATCAATTGACTGTGCACTGAAGGGGAGTCCTTTTCAAGAGACTTCTGCTTTCAGGATATCAGGTTCAATTGGATTAATGATGTTACTTAACTGTGTGTATTTGATCTTTGGTGGCACTACAGTTGGACTGATCAGGAATATTAAAATTCAAAAGGCTGAATTTAAAACTATGGGCAATCATTTTTGTTTCATAGTACAACTGTTTAGTTTAATTACTAACAATGGACAAATATTCATATCCATCATATTTACTCTGTACAGTCATCAGTCAAAGATTTTACTGAGTTTCATGTACCATTGGCATAACTACTGGTAAAGGACCCCATGAAAACTTTGCCAAACCCCTCATATGGAAACTTACACAATTGTACACCCATTACTCACAGACAGATGGGATTTTTTAATAACATACCTGACCAGTTGGCTTCCATCAACAGCCTTCCATCATCATCTCCATCTTCACATAATGCATCTCATCTATGATAACCAATTTTAAAGGGGTCCTTCACAACCTGCAACATGACAATATTCATTATTTATAACTGTAAAATCATAAATAAGTAGTATAACAAGCATCTATGTTAGTACATTCTCTGAAAAGGGTACCAAAACTGTCACGGGGTGACGCCCCTAAGGGTACATCTTTGATGCTTTTAGTTATGGGACATAATTATATCATAATCCATTGCAATGATTTTTTTATTGTTTTAGTTAGATCTCTCTCCAGCCAGTTCTGTTTAAAAACATTGAATGTTTATGAAAACATTTAAATATGTATCTTTCCCATTTTATACTGTTGTTCCTTGATGACACCTTGAAAAATGTACCTGCACAGGACCTTTTTCTGTCAGTGTGGTTGGAGAACTTGTTTAAAATAGCAAGTAAAAAAACAAATTATATAGTCATTTTTATATAAATTGAGACTAATGTTTTTAAAGGAGCATTATTTTTTGTGCTTTAGTACAATTATGAGGGATTTACAGTTTACAGTATATTTTAAAATTATAAATCGACTTTTTGTAGCTACTACTTTCCTTTTAAGTGTTTAATTACGTTTTTCTGGCTGTCACCTCTTATTCTGAACCTTTAATATTTTCTTTAGTCCAAAACGATAAAAAAGAGAGAGAAAATAAAAAAGAATAGAGCCTAAGACTGCAGTTCCTCTGCTGACAGATGCTGCTAAGAGGTGTACGAACAAGAGATCCGTTTTGCTTTGCTTTTTCATTTATTTTTATTTCTAGCGTCATTATTTTATTGAAGTCAGCTACTCTAGCCGAATGTGTTGAAGCCCGAAGCTGCGTATGAACATACAGTCAGTAAAGGCTTAGATCTTTCTCTTTTTTCTCTTTTCTTCTTCAGTTCTTCTTCGGTTCCCACAGCCTGCTGCTCTTTGTCACTCCTGCTCGAACTCACCTGTTATAAAGTCCAGCCTTTAGTGTGTGAACTTTCCCTCGGATGTTGAAATGACGGTGTCACTGAGGTGATTAAGGCCGAAAGCTGCCTGCTGTGGTATATAAGGGCCAGACACAGAGCGACATTCCAGCAAAGACAGCAAGGTTAGCTGAAAAACCTTGAACCACAGCAGCGAACCGGCGATTTTTCTAGAAAACTCTGAGGCGAGAAGTAACTGAGAATAGCGTTTTTGCAGCCTGATTACTTTCTGCATTAACCAACTCAGAAAGGTTAGACTATTGTTTTTTTTCCTCTCTAAAACAGACTTTTACTCTACTTTTGAGACAAAAGTTTTTTGTAGTTTTCTACGTTGGCATTCTCGGCAAGGCTAGCATAAACATCAGAACTCACTGTAAATCTGTGTTTTTGGCAGCTTTTCTTGTTATTATCTGCATTAGCGTTATTAGAGAGGTTAGCATAACAAACCGTGGACCGGCCAACCGCGCGGTCTTACTCTAAAGCTTTGTTTTCACCGTCTCTGCACCTCAGTGGGGGTAAAATGAGCTCTCTGGTTGGTCTGGTGGTCTTCATGGCTCTGATGGCCCCTCCAGTTCGCTCTTTCCCGCGTGGCTCCGCTGGGTTCCACCCCAAAGATCTGGAGAGCTCTGGCACTGGACCCGAAGACCCAGCTCGAGGGTCCGTTCGCCACCATAAGCCCAATCCGTTTTTCCTGAGGCAGTTCCCGGGCTCCGTTAGACCTCATGCGCACGCTGGAGGCGCGCGCAGCCGGAGCCCTTTTCCCGCCTTTTTGGCGCTGGGTCGTGCGGGACCCTCTGAGACCGGCAGGAGGCAGCAGAGCCAGGAGATGTGGAGGAGGAGCATGAGGAGAGGGGAGCAGGACGGAGAGCGCGTGGCCTTACCCGTCAGCCCCAGGAACATGAACCTGAAGGATCAGAGCTGCGCGGCAGTGCCCTTCACTCAGGTGGGCTACGTCACTCCGCACGAGAGCTCCAGTCTTATACAGGACCGGGTGATCATTTAGAAATGAATAGTGCTCTCATCTTTAATCTTTAATCATCTTTAATATACGATATTATACACAATATATAAAACATATAAATGAATAGACTTTATATGTAGAATTACTGAATAATGCTTTAATAACTTAATAATAATAATAATAATGATAAAAGTCCTTCCTTTCTAATTTTATTTAACGTAAGGTACAGCTGTTGAATAACACACTGTAACACACACACACACACACACACACACACACACACACACACACACATATATATATATATATATATATATATATATATATATATATATATATAATTACTAAGTAATGCGTTTAATAAATTATTAATAATAGAGATAAAAGTCCTACCGTTCTGATTTTATCTAACGTAAGGTAGAGCTGTTGAATAACACACTGTAGTACTGAAATATCTCGCTTTTTTGTTTTTGTTTAAAGCGAGCTAAAGCTAATTTAATAAAAGAAAGATGCTTCTTGCATTTTGCTTTTATTAAATTTACATTTACAATTTGCTGTTTATTATTTATATTTCATTTAGAGTCTCTAGCCTAAATAATAGTCTGTTTTAAAACGTGTTTATTTATTTATTACCAAAAAAAACGCACCTGAATAAATGAAGTAAATAATTAAGAGCAGATAAAATACAGTCGTCACTGTTAGTTAGTCTTCATGTAAACTTTAGCCTTTATTTATATGTGTAATTATTTAGTGTGAGTGCATTCAGTCATACTTGAACATAGCAGTGTGAAAATATCAGTGTAGCTGCGCACTAGAGCTCAGACACAGATCGATATATCTGATAGAGCTACTTTGAAAAAAAGTTTTAAAAAAAATAAATACAATAAAATAAATTACTTGATTCGAACGTGTACATCATTTCTTGTAACTGTGTTGACGTAATTAAAATATCAATATTGACATTTGAGGGGAAATCTATTTCACATACGCTGACAAATAGAATTTCCCCATCAATACAGTAGCTATGCAGTTTTCTTTAAGGGCCATATACATTCGTATGCAAAAGTCTGGGCACCCTGATCAAATGACATCTTCTGTTGATTTTCTCAGTGAAAATAAGTGAACACATCCTCTACAGGGAGCACACTTAAATATGATTTTTTGTCTGCTAATTTTATTGTAAAAATTTCTATTTATTTGATGATGTTGCGAAACATAAAAATACGAAAAAAAATATGCTTTAAACGTGCTGTGTACAGGCAGTCTGCTAAAGTCAGTAAATAAACAGTAATTGTGTATTAAAAATGCTTTTCAGTTTTAGCGATATTTTTTAGAAATATAGTTGATACATAATGGTCTTTATATCCATTTTATGATGCCTGTAAAATAGCCGTGTTTTGTTTGCTTTTTAAATTCGAGTCTATTCTGGCTTTAAGCTCACTTCACTCATGATGTCCAGGACCTGACATTTAACTGTGATAACTTACTGGGTACGTCAGATTGTTTTGAAAGAACAACTTAAAATAAATAAATGTATAAACAAATAAACAAACAAACAAACAAACAAACAAATAGGTTTCCTTTCTGGAAAATGTGCTTTCTGTCTTGTTAATGTTTACAATACTGTGTAAATTTCGCTGGCGTGTTTTAAGAGAACTAAAACAGAACAAAATAAAACGAAAACAAGCTATTTTAGCTTTCAGAAGATATTACTTTAGCACAAAGTAGCAGAACGTATGATGACTGGTATTATTACCTTTATTCATTCAAACTTAAACATCAATAGATACCGTGATATATACTGGGGAAATACCGTGATATCGTGAGCTGTATCAATATCGCCCAACATTCTAGGCCTATTGGTCTGGAACACGGATTACGATCCCCCAAAAAGACACTAATGCATTTCTTATTGAAAACATTCCCGCATTGTATCTGTATTATTTCTAATATCTGTGTTAATATCTAACCGCGTGTTGTTTCCTCCGTTTCTCCAGCGCATATCCGAGCCGGGCTGCGAGCCTCTCTCCTTCCAGAACAAGCTCTGCTTCGGTCACTGCGCCTCTCTCTTCGTGCCCCCCAGCGGGGGGTATGTGGGGCCCTTCAGCGCGCCCTGCTCGCGATGTGCCCCCGTCAGAGCGCGCTCAGTGCTCGTGCACCTGCGCTGCGGCGAGCAGACGCGAGAGAAGCGTGTGATGGTGGTGGAGGAGTGCAAATGCGAAACAGGCCGAGAGGACGCACGAGCTGAGAACATGGACACACATCTGTAACAGCGCGGAGAGAGAGAGAGAGAGAGAGAGAGAGAGGGAGAAGGGGAGAGATTCCTGCTGAAAAAAAAACATAGAAACCATTAAGTGTTTCTGTTGGTTCCTGATGGTTTTGTGATGTGTTTTGGCTTTTTTAATGGGTTGACATCACAGCTGATTCTAAACCCATTTGATGGTTTCCTAATGGGATCTAAAGGTGTTCTACGGGAAACAACCGGTCTCTACTGGAAACCATTAAGCCAATTCCCATTAGAAAGCAAAACAATTAGGTTTTAATCTTAAAAGTTTCTTAATGGCCTTTTTCAGCAAGGATGCATGAGCGCTTAATTTCAGTCCAGTGTCTTTAGAGTCTAATTCTGCCTCGTGTTTGACAACAGGACCAAATCAGGTTCTAGATATTCTGTGTTTAGTTCTCTTAAGTTCTGTGTGTTAGCCCGATATACTCCAGACTGGAGTGTCACTGTATAAACCACCGCTTTTCAGCGGAACTATGTTAAGTCGTTTTGACTGCAGCCTGTGAGCTTATTACCTGTTTTGACCGGCAGATGTCGCTGATGAACCAGTGAATTTGTGTATCTGCCTCATGACATTGTAACTGCTTTAAGTTATAGAAATATATTTGTGTACTGTGAAGTGTCCTATGTCGTTCTTCATCTTCAGTGTGCTACATAAACATGAATAACATAATGAACATAAATCAAGCTGACCTAAGGGTTTCTTTTAACCTATTCTTGCCAATATCTGGAATATACATAAACTTTGATTTATTTGGTTGAGGATTGAGGAAATAAGGGAGTCCAACACATTTCCCTGTTCTAACACATCAACTAAACCAGGCAAGTAACTAATGAGTTCAATCAGGTGTGCTTGAGCAGGAAAATCACCAAACTGTGCAGGAATCTGGCCCTCCTTACCTTCGGAAATAAAGGTTCTGTGCAGGTACATTTTTCATTCATCAAGGTAAAAACAATGTAAATGTTCCCTCAAAGGTACAACAGTGGTTTTAAGATCCAATTGTGTACTTAAATGAGTTTTTCCAGGTGAACAGTTCGTATTTGTACCTTTTCATAACCTAATGTTTTAAAACAGAACAGTACAATAAAAGGCCTGGAGACGAGACGGGGTGTGTGGAGTCAGTACAACTTAGAAAATATAATTTCAATGGATAATGGTACAAATATGTTCCCTGACTAAAGGTACTGAGATGGACCCTTGAGGGTACCACCCCAGTGACAAGAGGGGTACTGCCCCAGTGACAGTTTAGTACCTTTATTTCTGAGAGTGGCAGGACTGGCAATCCAAACCCCTGTGCTGGTCCATGTCTTCTTTGAGTTTGACTGAGCGCATTTGTCAAGTCACATGGTTAAAAAGTGAGTTTTATCACTTCTGTGTGTGAGTAAGAGTATGAAGGTGACATTAAAAAGGCCACTGCTGGATGTTCAAACAAAGTTCAACTGATTAACTGTACAAAACTTGATCAATTTAGATCAATCAGAACAAGATCTGACTGATTTTTCCTCATCATACTAAATTTAGTTCTTGGACATGAATAGCCTAATAGCTTACACATTTAGTTTACTGCTTTTGGCAGGAATTTTTGGTTATGCAATATATTTTATTCATGTGTCCCTGATCGACATAAAATTTAAACCAACATTTTGTACTGGCTACAATTGTTTCACCACTTTCTCAGAGCCTGCAGACATGTGATGGCCGAAACTGAGCCCAGATAAAGCCTAAAGGGATTAATTTTGCCAAATGAAACAGTATACAGTTCAATATAATTCATAATTTATAAATGTACAGCATACTTTATAAACTGATGCATTGGATTTACTTCAATGGACTCATTTTCACATGCATAAAACGCATTAAATCAACACAGTTTTGCCCCTGTGGTTTGCTTTCTCTTGGCAATATCTGTTTCAATGTAATATATTTTATTCATGTGGAAATTATGCACACATTTGAATCAAGTAAATTCAATGTATCACTGTTTTCAGTGCAGCTCATCGGATCCCAGATCTTACGTTGGCGTTGGGCCTTAAAACTACTAAAATTATATTACACATAACAAAACAAAGGCTGACAAATTTCCTGTGGTAAAAAAACAGGAGATATATTTTCCATTTGGTTACATTTTCTAGTCCTCTGAGGACCAAATCGGAGCCAGTTCCTGTAACCTAGTTTCAGAGAGGATTCAGCACTTCATTAACTATCTTAACTGAAGCCCCCCTCCTCCTCGTAAATGCCTCTTTAAGGGTCCTTAGGAGGGGAGTAAACATGGTTGTTTTTCCCCTCCCTCGCCGTAGCCTATCTATTATACATAATCACTCTTTTCAATGGTGTGGGAATTCGTGCCCTCCTATAGGCCAGCTGCCCTCGAGCCTTCAGAAAGACAGAGAGAGAAAGAAAAAGAGAGAGTGAGAGAGAGTGAGGGGGAAAAAAAAAGAAGAGTATTATTCATAGCCTTTCTGGCACCTGGAGCGGGAAAAGTTTACTCATCCTATACGAAAGGGCCTCGAGGGGAAAACAAGGGGCTGCTTTACATCGCCTTGGCAGCCTGTCAAAATCACTGCTTACTGCCATTTGCATGGTAGTGGAGAGGCTTAAATAGCAATCAACCCCCTCCCTTCCCTCTTCCCTCTTAACTATCTGCTTTAAAGTTCACACCCTTAAGAACAGCCCTGATTTAATGTTACTTAGTGATTATGGGCATCTACAGCCTGCCTTCTGTTTAAAGGCTGTTTCTCATGCGGCACTATATGTCCTGAAGTTCGCAGACACCTGCTCATGCCATGTTTCCTCTGAAATCAAGGGTATTAACTGGGACCCTTTGCTGCAGTAACAGCCTCTCCTCTTCTGTGTAGGCTTTACACTAAAAGTTAGAACGTTGCTGTGAGAATTTGATTGCATTCAGCCACAAGAGCATTAGTGAGGTCAGGTACTGATGTTGGATGATTAGTTCTGGATCACTCCAACTCATCCTAAAGATATTGGATGGAGCTCCATCACTCCAGAGAACACTGTATTACAGCCCAATGCTGGGGGGTTATACCCCTCTAGCCGATTCTCAGCACTGGCCATGGTGACTTTTGGCTCATGTGCAGATGCTCCACAGCATCAAATTCAATTGCCAGACTGTACACAATTGCAGTTGACTGCATGTGTCAGCAATGGATGTACCGAAATGTAGCTAAATTCACTAATATGAGGGGGTGTCCCAATACTTTTGGACATCATCTCCAGACCAGAGTTAGATTGCCTGAATTCAGATTTGGTTAAAGTACCTTACAGTCATGACTAAAAGTAAACATACTGTTATAATAAAAGCAGTGAAGTAAAAGCTAAAGGAACCAATGAAAGAACTCAAGTACAGCTTTTAAATTAAATGATAATAGCTACAGTCAAGTAGCTATTGGGACGCTTTGCAAAATGTAAATAAAAACAGAATGCCATGTTTCACAAATCATGTAAACTCTAAATTTAACTGAAAAGATTACAAAGACAACATATCAAATGTTGAAACTTTGAAATGTTGAAATTTTATTGTTTTTTGAAAAATATATGCCTATTTCGAATTTGTTGCCAGTAACACGTTTCAAAAAAGTTGGGACAGAGGCATGTTTACTACTGTGTTTCATCACCTCTTCTTTTAACAACACTCTGTAAGCGTTTGGGAACCGAGGAGACATCTTTTCCCGTTCTTGCTTGATAAAGGATTTCAGCTACTGTTTGGGATCTCATATTTTTTGTTTCATTATGCGCCAAGTGTTTTAAGTGGTGACAGGTCTGAACTGCAGGCAGGTCAATTTAGCACCCAGACTTCTTTACTACAGAGCTATGCTGTGGTAGTACGTGTAGAATGTGGTTTGGCATTGTCTTGCTGAAATAAGTAAGGCCTTCCTTGAAAAAGACGCCGTCTGGATGGCAGAATATGTTGCTCCAAAGCCTGTACATATCATTCAGCATTAATGGTGCCTTCACAGATGTGCAAGTCATCAATGCCATGTGTACTAATGCACCCCCATACCATCACGGATGCTGACTTGTCAACTGTTTGGTGAAAATAAGCCAGATGGTCCCTCTCTTTTTTAGAATTCCAAATTTTGAAGGTGGTGGCATTTCTGGATTCTGTTTATATATGGTTTCATCTTTGCAGGGTAGAATTTTAACTTACATTTGTGGATTTGTTCACAGACAGTGGTTTTCAGAAGTGTTCCTGAGCCCATGCAGTGATTTCCACTACAAAATTATGTCTATTTTAATGTAGTGCCGTCTGAGGGCCCGAAGTTCACGACCAGCCAGTATTGGTTTTCAGCCTTGTTCCTTGCATATAGAGATTTCTCTGGACTCTCTGAATCTTTCAATGATACTTATTTTAATGTTTATTTCATAATTACAGACATAATATATATAACATAATTGCAGACATAATATATATATACAAGAGACATTTTAAGTTTTATTTTTCCCCAACTCTGTTAAATTCAGCAAATAAACAGTAACAGTGAATTAAAATGTGCAGAAGTGTGTTATCTGTAGTGGATGTATAACTTATTTTCACTGTCACAAAATCAACAATACGTCATTTGACCAGGGCTGCCTAAAATTTTACATATGACTGTAAGTTCAGTGAAAAAGTATCAGGTCAAAGAAATTCCTGAGTTACCTATAGAACTGCAGTGGATCCTCTTTGTACATGCAGCATCCATCAGCACAGGAACTTGTTAGGTGATATTCTTCTCTTTAGATCACTTTGTTCTAAAATGAAATGCTGAAGCTCCAAAGTGAGAGGTGGTAGAACCAGCAAAACAGTCCAAGTACTGTCATCAACAAAGCAGAATAAAACCCCAAAAGCAATTAGAAACTCAATGTAAAAGATTTAAATGTAATTGATTCCTTTAGTAAAATGAGCAGAAAAGAAATATTATTATTTGAAAATAAAAAGAAAAGTACAAACCCTCAAGTACATGGAATTGAGCAGATATAATTTGAAAGATACACTATATGGACAAAAGTACTGGGACACCTACACATTACACCCACAGGATCTTTTATGGTGTCCCATTCTAAATCCATAGACATTAATATGGAGTTGGTCCCCCTTTGCAGCTTCCACTCTTCTAAAATGGGTTTCTACAAGATTTTGGAGTGTGTCTGTGGGACATTCATCCAGAAGAGCATTTGTGATGTCAGGCACTGATCTTGGGTGAGAAAGCCTGGCTCACAATCTCTGTTCTAGTTCATCCCAAAGGTGTTGGATGGGGTTGAGGTCAGGGCTCTGTGTGGCCCAGTCAAGTTCCACTCCAAACTCACCCAGCCAGGCCTTTATGGACATTGCTTTGTGCACTGGGGCTCAGTCATGCTGGAACAGAAAAGGATCTTCCCCAAACTGTTCTCACAAGGTTGGATGCATATAATTGTCCACAATGTCTTGGTCGGCTGAAGCATTAAGGTTTCCCTTCACTGGAACTAAGGGGTCTAGACCAACCCCTGACAAACAACCCCATATCATCATCCCTCCTCCACCAAACTTTACACTTAGCACAATGCAGTCAGGCAGGTTATGTTTGCCAAACCCAGACTCGTCTATCAGACTGCCAGACAGAGAAGCGTGATTATCACTCCAC